CTTGGGGGACTGCCGTCCCCCGTGATATTTTCATTTATAAGTTTCATCGTTGTTCCAAATTTTCTGTTCGCTATATGATACTCTTTTGTTCCACATTTGATACAAATATCAGAAAATTTGGAACAACGATGAAACTTATAAATGAAAATATTTTGAATAAAATAAAGCAATAAATCAATTTTCCTAATTTGTTTTTTGTTAATTTTTCAAACGTGCATTAAATAAAAGAACTACAAAAAAATAATACAAAAAAATAATACAATAAAATTGACTCAGGAGGACACCTAACCTCAATACATTCCTGCTGCTGCTGCACAGCAGAACAATAAAACCACGCAATCGCATTCGTAAAAAACTCACTTAATTTAATTTCAATTTTAATTTAGTTTTATTAATGAAATAAAAACAAAAATGATGAGCCGTCATTAGGTGTAACAAATAGAAATTTTATCCAAAGCGAGTCGACCTTTGTGTGTCGGTATATATTGGTACCGCTGTACAGCGGTATAGACGTATGAAATCACACTAGCCGCTAAGTAATTGAATTACAATATTTGTTTTATTACATAATTCGTCGCGATATTAATTTTTTTCATCTATTTCGTTCACATTCACATTCTTTTTTTATATTTCTGAATAAATAAGTCTCGTACAAAATGTAATACAATAATTAATATATAACTTGCTTGAAAGCAGATTTCGATAGGGACAACTAATGACATTTGTAATTTGACATCTCGGCCACGGTTTGGCCTGTCTGATTTTTTCAAACAATCGCTGTGGCAGCTATACTTGACTTACCCAAGGCATATGCATATTCGTTGGAAAGGTCTTAAAGTAAGCTATCGAATAGTGCCCATTACGACTTAAAAATTTCAAGTTCAGGTGGCCAAATCGGTCAAAAATCAAAATTTGACCGTCTGGCCGGACACATAACGGTCACTTTCTCGAAGAAGACTGCATGGGTTCTCTTGAAAATTTCATCAATTTAAGCCCCAAGTCGAGGATAAAAAAAATATGCATATCACACACCACAGAAAAAACCACTTTTCCCCATTATGAACCACAATTTATATCATTTTGATCCAAAAATAACCTAAAAATCCATATTTTCATTGTATTTGAAAAATATTCAAATCCATGGGTCTTGAATCTTTAACTCGGAAAATAGCGCTTACAAAACTATTGATATCAAATAAAAAACCTCTATCGAGGTAGAGAACGAGTGACGAAACCTACATTTGAAACACAAAATTTCTGATATCAATTTTGTGACGAAAATAGTTGGTAGATATTTCTTTGTACTGTGAATATAAGCTTAATATGCATTTGTAAATTCGGAACGTTGCTTGATTGCGTCAGTATGAACTCAAAGTAAAAAGAAGAGAATTTCTGCAACGTTTCGAATATACAAATGTATATTAAGTTTATATTCACAGTACACAGAAAAAATATCTACCAACTATTTTCGTCACAAAATTGATATCAGAAATTTTGTGTTTCAAATGTAGGCTTCGTCACTCGTTCTCTACCTCGATAGAGGTTTTTCATTTGATATTCGATTACCGCACAATTACCCGAAAATACATTTTCCCGAACGAATTTTTTCCCGAAAATGATTTCCGAAAATACAATTTTCCGAAAGTTGATTTCCCGAATTTTTTTCCCGAACGGTACATTTTCCCGAAAATGAAATCCCGAAAAATGTTTTCCCGAATTTTTTTCCCGACATTTTCCGAATTTTTTTTTCCCGATTTTTTTCCCAATTTTTTTTCGGAATTTTTTCCCAATTTTTTTCCACCACTTTTTTTCTCCCGAATAGTGATTATTTTTCGGAATAGCATATGTTCCTAATTTTTTTCTGATATTTTTCCGGAATAGTATAAAACACTTTCTCGATGAGCACTTCTTTCTCAAGCTCTCGTTAGGTCATGTGTTCTAAGCACTCAGTCGCATTTTTATTTTTATTTTATTAAGCTTGGGGTTCGGAAAAAAATGGGAAAGAGTTCTTAGAAGAACTCTCTCCCATTTTTATTTCAATTCAATTTGAATTAGGATTTGGGAAAAATGGGAGTGGAAAAATGGAACGCAATACCGAACGACCGCAATCTCTCCCATTTTTATTTCAATTAAATTTGATTCAGGATTCGTAAAAGATTTCACTCTTTTCTTAAGGATAATTCACTTAAACTTCATCAGACTTAGTTCATGAGAAATCTTAACCAGAGTTAAAGAACTTTGAAAAAATTGAGCAATTTGGTATAGAATTGTCAAGCGGTTTTTCGGAAAAAAATTCGGGAAAAAGTTTTTTCGGGAAAGTGTCTTTCGGGAAAATATCCTTTTCGGGAAAAAGGCCTTTTTTGCAATTTCGGGAAAATGTATTTCGGGAAATATGTTTCGGGAATTAGTGCGGTCACCCTTTGCGTGTGTGGTGGTATTTCATGGCTCGAAGTAAATGGAATTTTCTGAGTTATTTCGTGTAAGACACCCATGGTCGTCGCGAGTTTTCTTTGGCTGCTATGTTATTGGATTTATTTTTGCTATATCAAAATAATTCGTTCCATTATACATGTTTTTAAATGAAGAAATTACAAGTCAAAACCGATTGATTTTATTAGTGAACGAGAGACGAAAAGAGCAAAGGTAAATGCGTCACATGTACATTTCACCTTTTCATGACGAAAGTTTTTCGCTTCACCTTGAAACTCCCATCCAACCCATAAACCAAGTATAACTAAAATATAATCGGAGCTAAGTTGGCTTTGGCTTATTTCGTTTGACGCTAGAGAGAACGCCCGTTTGCTCTATGGCTCTTCCTAGGGGCTTTCAAGTAAGATTTTCTTTCCAGAATTCAACGGATAAACAACAGTATATCAAATAATGCAAATTTTTACAAATAATGCAAATCTTTACCGATTTCACTATTTTGTGCCAAAAATCCACCGATATCGGCCGATATGCGAAGTGTCTGTGTTCTGGAAGTGGTCTTTGGTGGATCCTCTGGATAATCAGAACCACTCCAAGTTCTGGAAGTAGACCCTTAGGATGAGCCAGGGCATTGTCAAACCAGGGTCTGGTCCATCCAGAGGATCCACCAAAACCCACTTGCAGAACTGGGAGCGGTTCTGATGATCCTGAGAATCCACCAAAGCCTACTTCCAGAACAATTAATTATCAAAAAATACCCGAATATAAACTATAGGGTCTCTTAGCAATTGTATGACACTTTAGTAAGAAAGTAGTTCCAACTATTTACCAATAGATGGCGACACATAAAATAGCAACTTCGAAACAAATACGCATTTCCTATACTTATCGTAAAAAATGTAATAAAAAATCGCGTGCTGAGAAAAAATAAATATTTGTGTATTCTACACTGTGTATAATAATTATTGTGGATTTTTCAGAAACATTGATCAAAACAATATTGGAATTACATGTTTCCAGACAGTTGAATGGAAATTTGAAATCGAAAGACGTCAAACGAATGCTGTCACTTTTACTGTCCATTCAACTGTCACTTTTGAACAAATGATACACAAATATTATATATATATATATTTAAAATCTGGTTTCAACAGAATTTGGATAAGGTTTTTCGTGTACATTACTCAGAGAAATTGAACAGTGTGAACATGAATGTGTTCATTGTATTCCGCCCATTTACACTGAAGTTGTTTCTTCCCAGTGTGAATCGTCATTTTACACTTTGATTTTGCAAGTTCAGTGTAAAATGATTTTGCGTGTATAAACTTTTTTTTAAAAATTATTAAACTTTTTTCATGTTTTTATTTTATTGTTAAATATCCAATGAAAGATTTAAAACTTAATCTGGTTTGATATTGATTCAATTTGTGGTGATTTTTTGCTGTAGAAAAAAATTAGCATTGCGATGTAAAAAACACAAGCAAAATTCATCTCTCACGTTCAGGTTTGGGATCATTTGTATTATTTTTTCAATATTTAATCGATTTTGTACATTGAAAGAGACTAAACAACGATCAAAGAGTTTTTTTATGCAGAAAATGTGCGACGGTTCATTTGAAAATCACATACTCTGCACAAGTAGTCATATAGCTTATTGCAAATCATGCACTGATGTGACACTGTGGATACGTGTCGACTGTATCAAGCGAACATTCTGTGTTCAATACTGAAAACATTTTTAATTTTTTTTTCATTCCAATTTAAATTATTTTCATTTTATTTTCAAACATTTAAATTTATTTTATATTTTCCTAATGAAACAAGAAGAATAAAAATTCATTAATGCTATTTACCTTCAAAAAATAAACATTCAAGACTATGTGAATCAAAAAAAAAGACAAAACTAATTCAAAACAAATTTCTCCGTTGGATTTTCTTTCAACTTTTATATTATTTGACGCATGTATCTTCGTCTGATATTGGATATATTTAAACGAATTCCACAATAACAGCAAATTGTGCGACCTTTAATATAAGAAATTATGATGATAGTGGAGATGTTGATGAAAAAAAAGAGCCACTCAAAGCGCTCTATGAGAATTAGCTTTGTTACATTTATTGTATGATGAAAATATTTTCGTATGGTTTGTAATAACGTAAAATTGCTTGCCGTTATTTTTATTTTTGCTTTCGACACAATCTATCCAAGACACATGCAAAAAGAATGAACACAACAAATCATAATACCGAAGCGAAACAGAAGCAAGAATAAGCGCGCACACACATACATAGAGAAAAGCACACAAATGTTGTTGCGATTGAAACTTTGACTTTGTTAGTTACGCGATGCCAAAAATAAATCAATTTAATTTTTCCTGTGTGCAGCAAACCGAACAAACAATGTGTACATACACTGTGTATATGTGAATCGATTATTTGGATTTGCGGGAGTAGGAATGACGATGACAAAGAATAGAGAACAGTAATAATAATAAAAAAACGGGAGAAAATAATATCTACATCAATGTGTTTTGTGACTAAAAAAGACCATAAAAGCTTTGGATATTACTCACAATGATCGACACCAGACAATATGAAAAAACGTTGTGTTCATCTATCATGAAAGCGGAAATGGTTATTTGTTGGATATTGAAGAGGGCGACCTTTATTAAATTGAGCTAGAGAGAATAATAACGAATGAAAGAAAAAAAAAACAATGGGGCAACATACACAGAGTGACTAGTATGTTTTTTTTTTAATTCCGATTGTCTGCCTGCTTTTGTCATGCTATAATTTCTCTTTTTGTGCCCATGCGAGTCAGTGATGCGCGCTGCTTGCACTTTGATCACCCAACAATGTGCGCTGCTTTAGAACCCTAATAAAATTCGATTAATTGTTTGGTTACACTTTATGACATTTAAATAGAATTTCGTGTTTCGTTTTTATTTCTCGATTTCTGCAATCCCAAATGCACTCTTGCTTAATATTGTCCCATGAGAGTACATTGAGCAAGCAAAAAAAACACGAACGAATGACACTTTAGTGAGTTTTGGTTTTGTACAATTTTTCATGTTACGCTCTTAGCATTTGAAAGAAAAATGATTATTCTGTTTTGCGTAATTTGGCCCAAATAAAAAAGACCTTTATTTGCTCCAATCCAAAGACATCCGAAATTAGATTATTGCATTTAAATTTTAGTGTGTGTGGAATATCCTAGTTGGCGGTTCTTCGTTATTAATTGAAAATAAATCAGATCATTTACTTCTATAAAATTGAAACAAAAATTGGTAGTGAATGAATCGGGTGTGCGTGTGCATATTTTATCATGTGACAATAACAACACCATAAAAATGAGTATATGCACTGAATAAATTTATAATCAATATTGAAATGTACAAATTACACGCATATTCGCACAACTGTCTCAACTGAATCACAACGAAGCCAAAGTACATACACACATCGTGTTTTATATAAAGATATACCGATCGAAACCGACAATGACTTTTACGAATGAGGCCTCTGAATGTTTTTATCGCTGTCTATTCATTTTCGCTTATTATTATGCTATAACCCCCCTCTATGTCCCCGGAAGGGAAATTTGATTCCGAAACCGAACCCGATGCGCGCACGAAAAATGTGTATACATACTTTCATGAAACTTTTTTTTGTTCATTGTTTCGTTAACATTTTTATGCCATTGCCTGGTTGAAAATATCTGCGCACTGTTCACTCACGAGTTCTCTCTCACTCTTTCGTTTGAATACTTTTTCGAGCTCTCTGCTATTACTGTATGTTACTGCTATACGTTCTCTATTATTTGATGTGAGTCAGTGCAAGACTCAGTGCCAGTCAGCTGTGTATATGGATTTGGTCGAATTGCGTATCTACGTGACGCATATATTTGTTTGTGTGCGACTCTTTCGTTCGAATGTTAAGTGTGTATGTATTTGTGGCGAGGTAGAATGTAGAAGAAAATCGAAACAGCTGTTTTTTTCTCGTTCTCTATGCATACATATCTTAATGGCATAGATGGTAGATATATATATATATCCTATATATATATATATATATATATATGTATAGGAAAATACGGAAAATCATCAGATTCATTTTTAAGTTAGTTGAGTAGTGCTGCTTTGCTGTTAATAATTTCCAATGTTACTCTCTTTTTTTTGAATTTTCTTCAATTCACCGCTGTTAGTGATACACATTTCCAACCATTACAGCTGTTTTTATTTTCCTTCTTCTTCGCATTTCTAATCGATTTTGTTCAAAATTTACTTCATCCCATCATACAAATATCTATCAATATCTTACATGTGCATATTATATGACCATATGTTAAGGTGAAAAAACTAGTCAAATCAGACCTTTGCTCTTTTATCAATGTTCATACCTATAGAGTTGACTAGAAGAAAAGAATGGAAAAAATGGAAATTAATCAATAGGTAATGGAACAGAATGTAAATGAAGGATCAATGTTCATACCTTTTTTTTACTTTTCAGTTTCATATTTTCCCTAGGGGAATTTATCTGTTCGCGAATATATATTATTCGATGGTACATATACTATGCATATTTTACGAATAATGCATTGAATGTACGTATTTTGCGAATACGCAAAATATACGCAATATTCACAGTATTTTGATTGAGATAAAAACCCTTAGTATTTTCCAATGATTTGCAGAACAAAAATGAATAAGGGAATGAAACCAAAAGCGGCTGGATGTCTTTTTATTTATTTCTTGGCTTGTTCGAAGGATTTCTTTTGTTTTAATTTTGATTTTCGGCTATTTTCATTTTGCATTCACATCAACATAACTTTTGGTCGAAATGATTATGATGACGATAGGAACGAATGGCATAGTCGCGATACGTCACAGAAACACATTTGTTTCGCACAGGAAAAACACAAACCATAACGATTATATTTTCCGATGAAAAACAAAACAACCAACAACAGATTTATTTCGTTTGTCATGCGAAAACAAGTCAATTTGTCATCAATGCACGTACATGCAGAAAGAAAAAGAACAACAGAGATTGAAAAATTGTCACTCCAATTATCTTGTGTATAAAAAACAATACAAAATGAGCATTCATCTCTTATGTGTTCACAAATATGATGAATCGATTTTCTTTGTTTTTGAAGGTTGTCGTTCTCATTCATTGAGGCTGTGACTCAGCACTGCCTTCCTAAAATACCAACAGAATTCTCAATAGAATATATTCAACCCCTTTTTTTGTTTTCGCTTTTCTCTATCTCTCTCTATTTCCTCTCTTGATGCAAACACGTAATTGAATTTACATTTCTTATTTAAAAAAAAAAACAACGAAAAGAAAACACAGTTGATCAGATGTTTTACATGCATGACTGGTAATAGAAATGTGCATAAAACAAAGTAGTATTTTTACGTGACAAAAATTGACAGCTAAAATTGTGTGTAAGTGTGTGTGTGAGAGGTTTATGTACCAATGCACGCATCATATCTAGAAGTTGTAAGAACTTAAATATTCTTTGTTTGCACACATTTACGGCAGCAATGAAATTTCAAATCCAGTGATATAATCATAAGTGTTTTGCATGTTACTTTTGATTTGAGGCATTATTCATGTGTGTTTTATGAAACTCCCCTTTTATTTTATCGGCTTTTCAGGCTGTTAATGCGGTATTATATATGTACATGTTAGTATGTAATGGATCAAGATGACATTGCAAATCTCTTTTTCGTTTTTTGAATATACTGAAAATTCACTCATACGAGGGCGACTATTTAAGTTTCTTCAATATGTATGTTTTAGTATTGCCCGATGCAAACCATTGTCATATTCGTAAAGTTGGACATTTTTCATGACCATTTGACTTAACAGGACGAATTTTAGTTTTGTGGTATGGCCACGGTGTCAGTTGGAAAAGGTCAACTTCGCAAAAAAATGAAATTTACAAAAAAGATTATTTCTCATAAGTTTTCAAAAAGAGCTGCCTGCTCAACAGTATTACTTCCGACTCAAGTCGGGGTATGGGAAGGAAGTACCATGCCTTACCACTGTATACAACTGGTTCACTGAATCCCATCGTCATGGTGCTCGCTACAGTGATCAATTGCGCGATGGTCCTTCGAAAATTGATGTCATCGAGAAAAACTCTGGTGCCGATTGAGTTAGGATCGAAGTTTCGTTTACAGTTAAATTGTGGTATGCCCAAGGATCACAGAGACTCCAATCATTTGGTTCTTCCATGAATTACAACATGAAAAAAATAAATCTTTACGTGTCAACCCACAGTTGCTCAAAAATCGATTGATTTTAATCACATCCAAAAAATCATAACCAATTTGACATAGGATAATAAAAACACGTCTATACGATCGCAATAGAAGCCAAGACATGATTCCAGTAGTTTGGACCTGAAACAAAAACTTGGTTGACTCTCTGAGTCTTCAAACATGAACACAATCGAACAAAAGTTGTTCGTTTGTGAAGTGATAGGGAAAATCGGACCTCATTATTTTACAGTGTTATGTGTCATGTTGCTACCATGCCTTAAGAGGATGAAAGGTCCTTCAATGCTGAATAGTACACAACCATTTGATTGTCAAAAGTCATCACGGGAATATGGAGACCAAAACTCTGAAACTTATAATCCCAAAACATGGCAAAAAGAAGCCCATCAAACAGTCGACTATTTGACCACCCAAAAGATCGAATTGATGCACAATACTCCGTGTACGAATTATTCGGGACCCCTCTGTCCACCAGAGACCAAAATCAGTTGGATACAATATATTTTTCGTACTTGAAATTAAGTGCATATTCAAAAAAGTGCACTTTTTGGAGTGTCATGTTTAAGCTGCTGTCGTAGCCATACCACAAAACTAAAATTCGTCCTGTTAAGTCAAATGGTCATGAAAAATGTCCAACTTCACGAATATGACAATGGTTTGCATCGGGCAATACTAAAACATACATATTGAAGAAACTTAAATAGTCGCCTACGTATATTCACAGTGTGAACTTCACACAATGCGAATGAGCGCACATCAATTTCATGTTTTTCAAACAATCATCACACAATATTTAAAATGACGGTTTCTGACGTCGCATAAGATTTGTATGTATATTTGTGTGTATATTTTTAAAAGCCACAAGACCATTATATTATTACATTTGGTATACATCACATCTTGTTTCACTGCTGAGGCGTGAATTTGAATTTTAATCAATTTTCTCCTTCGTTCGGCGTGTGTGTGTGCGTGCATAGATTTTGCTGAATCTGTAATGTTTAAGCATTTGAGATCCGTAATCACCCGCATTTGTTGATAATGATGATGATGACAATAACAGCAAAAACAAAAACTTTGATGCTTTTGAAGGAAACGGAATGTTGCTGAATGGACGAAAATTCTTACACTTGAATGCTTCTATCAAGGGACAAACGACCAACATTGATACGAGAACGCCACGCAATACCCAACATTTATTTCTTTCTTCATTTCGCTTTAGTGTTGTTGGTCTTTCCTCCGATTTCGTGCTGGCTGGCTCATGTGTTTTCTCCTTGCTTCTCACTTCGGCGCACTCTCACACAACAACAATAAAAGTATAGAAGAACGAGAAAGAGAGAAAAAGAGAATAAAACAGTCATTGCCTTTGGTAAAAAACCATCTTTATGACATCAGCACGATGTTCGATAAATGTCCTTCACTTACCCTTCTCACAGTTCATGTGTTTGTTACTGCTACCATGCGTTTATCGAAATGGAAAGGAAAATAAATGTTATTGTTATGCGCCTTTGCGTTCACTTCTTTGTTTCCATGTTAATGCGTTGGTTCATTTTTGCTTCTGTATTTTCTTGTCGCATTGTACTTTTTTCGCCTCTCTGTAAAAAATTTTTTTTCTAACCAACAATTTAATTTTAACTTATCCGTTAGTCGAAAGTCGAAAAAATTCTGAACTAAAGAAAGGGGATGAAAAATAATACAATGCCTCATCAGTAATGGATTGGAGTCAAGAATAATCCAAAATCAACTCATAAATATATTCGAGAAGCATACAATTTTTGACGTGTTTCTCTACTTTTTTTTTGCATTTTTCATCCGCCCGGCTTAATTACAAGGTCCACAAGAGAATTATTTCCACGACCGAAATATACATGTATTATGCATAGTAGTCGTTCATATGAATCTCAATTGAAGAGAAAAACGTTATACAATAGCCAAGTGAAATCAGCTGTTTTCAGTTCTCTCTGCATCTCTTTCTTATATGTGCTTGAAACGAAGCGAATAAATGAGCCCCCCATTTTTATTCTCACATCCGTTTTCTTAATTTTTTTCTTCTTCTCTCTTCATAATATTTATATTGTGTTATGGCAATGAACAGCGTTGGATGTTGCGTTTGGTATTAATGCTACAATATATCCATACAAATTTTCCTCTTTGGTATTGCATTTTCAGTTGTTTATAGTCTCAGGTCTCAGATCGTTGTGTGCGCTCACATTTTAAAAGCATTATTCGCGTTCACATACACACACGCACCCATAATTTGGGCTCACTCATTCAGTCAGTATCAGATCATAGCATGGATGCGTTTTTTTAATGGCCATATAATTATTATTTATTGGCTTTTCCTTTGTGTATCTTTTCTCATCCTGCTCGAATTTTAAAATTTATTGACGCTTCACAGAGAGAAAGAACAACAGCCACAGCAACAGCAACAGCAACAGCAACAGAGGGAAACATATTTATTTTGCTTCATTTTTTCATATGTATCTATGTTTAATATTTCCAATTCTATCGTTCACCTCTCTTAAATCATCTTTTAACATAATATACATCCTAAAAATACATTGCAATTTCGCCGAAATATGAGAAAAGAAGAGAAATATATTCCATTTTAAAAATCATTAGCGTCAATTCTGTTCTGGGCACAAATTTACATTTCTGAATTCGAGTGTGCGAGGAAAATGACTTTAAATCATTCTTTATGAGTGTGAAAACAAGTCTCACGTACATAATTCCTCATACAGCTATTTTTTTTTTTTGGATTTCAAAGTGATAATATCAGCTTTTTTTCTATTCTTTTTTTATATAGATTGGACTAGACCCCTAACACCGCCTGCAACAAATCGCCATTTGAAGAACGTCACACCAAAAACCAATGGTTCCAATATAACACAAACAGCATCAACAAAACCTACAACTATTATTAATAAGAACAATAATACAACTACCGATGATTTGGTAGCAGACTCAAAGCGGGTCAACAATAAATTGGAAATCACTGAGAATTTAGTTCAAAAATATGACAACAACAATGATTTAGCATCATCGCCAACCGCGGCCACTGTCGTTACAAACTTTGATGAATCAACCGTACAATCTTTAGCACTACGATTGCAAAATGAATTGCGACGAGCAAAAAGTCAACATTTGGCTTGTACCGAAGTATTATTACCATCTGATTTGCTAAATCGTATTGCATCGAAATTGATTGTAATGTCAGAAAAGGAACCGTGCGGTATTCGTGGTTCAATCATTTACATCGAATTTGAAGACGAACCAAATAACACAAGGTACGTACATAGCTTCTTAGCTCTTTTGTTGGAGGAATTTCCGTACAATTTTGTCGACATTTAATATGTTGATATATTAAATGTGTGCAAGATACAGACTGAAAACAAAAATTCCGATTGACCAAGATAGCTTTTGTTTTGCGGGCCAACTTTTTCTCCTTCGTAGATTTTTTAAAATTATAATTGTGAGCAAATATTCAGCATTATTAAATTAAAATCAACTACGAATTTTCTAAAATAAAATCGAGACCAAAATCATATAGATTTGAATTTTCGGCCTTTAATTTACCATTGATTTTTACACATGCAAATGTGTCCGTAAGAATAAATATGGCAATACAAAAACGGAATCTGAAGAACGTTACATAATTTTTTTTTGTATGAAGTTGTGCTATGTAAAAAAAAATTATGTAACGTTCTTCAATCTTCAGATTCCGTTTTTGTATAGCCATATTTATTCAAAGCACGACGATAATGACAGCTCGGCAACGCTCTATTAGAGATTAGTACCGCTGGCAACCGCAGAACTATATAGAATCATATGGAGTCATTTGGTGGCGCTGGCAAGCAATTTTGCCTTATCGTCATGCTTTGTATTTATTCTCACGGACACAAATATTATTATTATCATTATTATTATTTATTCAGAAAAACAGCATACAGTTTGTTTAAATTACAATGTAATGAAAATGCTGGCTCAAAGCCCAATTTGTATGTTGATGAATTAAACTTAAAATAAAATTAAAAAAAAAAAATTATCACGATTGAACATTTCAAATTGCAGCGAATTATTTTAATTTAATTTTTTTGAATATTTAATAAATGATCAAAAATTTTTTTTCGGAAAATGTCAAGGCTTTTCGAATTACGAATATCTATTGGAACATTATTCCACATTTTTGAAATGCAATGAGCAAAAATATTCTCATTTGAAAATTTTGAAATCTTCATAGCTTTTAAACTAAATTAAACCGCACAAAAAAATAAAACACCATTAGCAGTTAATTCGTATGCCAGTGTAATGCGAAATAATACGAACCAGTCAGCCAAACGACCACGAACTGAGGATTCACCGAAATCGATTATTCCACCGGCCAATAATGTCAAATTCGATGCACCAAAACCAAAAACAGGGACAAAATCGGCCACACATCGACTCAGCGTGGTAGCCAAACCAAAACGAGCCGAAAAACCAACATTTAAAAAGGCAATTTGGGTATCTGGATTCAATCCAATGACCACAACCGAAGAAATTAATGACTATATCATGGCAGAAACGCAGGTAAACGAGAAATCGAGATTCAATGTGCACAAACTAGTGAAAAAAGACAAAGATGTCACCACATTGAAGTTCGTTTCGTTCAAAATCGAATTAAATGAAGACGATTTTGATATTTTGATCAATCCGGAAGTGTGGGAAGAAGATGTTCTTGTCCGTGAGTTCTTGCAGGACAAAACTTTAGGTGATTTTTTCCCGGCATTGAACTCGAAAAACATCAGCAAATTACCGACACCAGATTTGATGGATTTAACCGTATCACCACCGAGCAAAGCCACCGAAGCGTCGAACAAACAGGCCACATCATCAAACAAAATGAAACGAACACCACCGAACGAAAATCCGAACGAACATTGACACCGCATCGAAAACAAACACTAAGCTCGCCAAAAATAGTCTCGAATCAAACAAAAATCAATGTGTATATACAGAATACACATTCAATTCGGGACAAAGTCGTCGAGGTACGATTAGCAACAAAATCGTGTCCTTTTCATATAATTTCTTTCTTCGAAACGTGGCTTCAAAAGAACATTACTGACATTGAACATTTTGGCAAACGTTATAATGTGTATCGTGGTGATCGGACGGAACTCACAAGTGATAGAATTGATGGTGGAGGAGTGCTGATTGCTATTGAATGCCAATTTAACAGTGAAAAGCTGATTCTATCGGAGCGCAGCGGCCTTGAGCACGTATGTGTAAAAATTTCGTTCGATTCGTGCAATATTTATGTATTTGCTGTGTACATTCGGTCGGTACATGAAACCGCAAAATTCTTGGAATTTGCTGAGATCGTCAAGCTGATTCCATACAACGAACATGACATTGTAATTGTATGTGGTGATTTTAATCAGCCAGGTGTCAAATGGGTCAAATCCGATGACGGTGAGTATTATTTGCCAATTAACGTGTTGACAGAAGGTGGAATTGCTGTTTTTGACACAATGTTCGATTGTAGCTTTCACCAAATGTCAAATATCGTGAATCCAGCCGGAAATGTTTTGGATCTTGTTTTCACAAACAAGTTTTATGAAATGTCGTTGATTGAATCAATTAAACCAATGATAAAGTCCGACATTTGGCACAAAGCAATTGAAATCGAAATCACAATTGATGGAAACGAGTCCACATCACCGCAATCTTCGCAACAATATGCATACAACTCGGCCGATTTCGATTCGATGAACGAATTTTTTGCTGGAAATGACATTTTGTCAGAAATTAATCGAATAGATGACCTCGAGAATGCATTTCTAACTCTTAGGAATGTTCTACAAGAGGCGATCGATTCATTTGTCCCGAAGATAACCGTTCAAAGTAGCACTGATCCACCATGGTACACGAAACAATTGAAACACATGAAAAATGTCAGAAGGAAAGCATACAAGCGAGCAAGGGAGACTGGCAATTTCGACGAATACAACACCATCACTGATTCGTTCGTCCATTTACAAAGCCAGCTATTCAAATCGTACATCGGCCGTATACAAGCGCAAATCAAATCAAATTCAAAACACTTTTGGCGGTTTGTGAACGACAGAAGAAAAAGAAGCGACATTCCTGCTATTGTTGAATACAACAATGAAACAGCAAGCACCGAAACGTCGAAAGCAGAATTATTCGCTGATTTTTTCGAAAATCAATACACACAGAGCGATAATATCGATTTGGATCAATTGCTGAGTGAATGCAGTGATCTCTCGTTTGATATCGAAATCAATGAACACGATGTATTGAAGGCATTGCAATCGATAAATGTGAATAAAGGAGCCGGAATATCACCGAAGCTACTGAACAATCTTTGGCAAACCCGTTAACAGTGCTATTTCGGAAATCATTGTATCAAGGATGTGTTCCGTCAGCGTTGAAAAATTCCAGGATTGTACCAATATTCAAGTCTGGTAAAAAGAGCAACGCATCGAACTATCGGCCAATAGTGATAATACCAACAATAGCCAAACTATTCGAAATTGTTGTGTATAGTAAAATCGACACATTTGTACAAGCAAAAATCAACCACAATCAACATGGTTTCGTAAAAAGTCGATCAACCTCAACAAATTTATTGCAAATGGTAAATTTCACGATGGATTCAATGATCGAAAAATGTCAAACGGATGTGTTGTACACCGATTTCGAGAAGGCCTTCGATCGGGTCAACCACAAAAGAATGCTACAGAAACTGGTGAAATTTGGATTCGGCCGACGACTAGTCAAATGGTTCCATGGATATTTGACAGCCCGTACACAGTTTGTTGGAATCGGCGAAAGAAAGTCACGTACTTTCACTGTCTCATCAGGAGTACCTGCGGGAAGTATTTTGGGACCATGTCTATTTATTATTTTTATTAACGACATTGTCGAAACCGTGTCAAATGCACTTGTCTTACTTTTTGCAGATGACTTGAAATTGATTCGAAAAATACAATCGCCCAGTGATGCCATTACTTTCCAAAATTCCATTGATCAGTTGAATGATTGGTGCACTGAAAACAGCCTATATCTGAATCTGAAGAAATGCTTTGTAATGACGTATTCAAAAGGTGGAAACGCAATCGACTACGTATATACGATCAACAACGGCCATCACACGTTTGAACGAATGAATTTACACAAGGATCTCGGCGTTATTTTCGACAAAAAACTAACGTTTGTCAATCACATCGATGCGATTACAGCTAGTGCACATGCGGCTATGGGATTCATAAAACGGACACTGAAAAATAAGTTCACGATCGAAACGGCGAAAATATTATATTGTGGACTTGTCAGATCAAAATTAGAATACGCGAGTATTGTATGGCAGCCATACCACCGTATACACTCAGATAGAATAGAATCAATTCAGAAAGACTTTGTGATATGGACATTAAGTTTTGTTTACCAAAGAGACGAGAATTTTGTATTGCCACCGTATTATTTTAGATGTGATACTTTAAATATTCAACCGCTTTGGAGACGGCGTATAAATGCCTCTATATTTTTAATTTATGATCTCTTATTAGGTAAAATAGTGTCGCGTTCACTTAGAGATAAGATTGTTTACACAAGACTTCATTATGACGTGAACCAAAGAAACTTAAGAAATACAGAACTAATTAGAATACGAAGGTTCACATCGGAGTATGCACATAATCAGCCGTTTTACGTAGCTTGTAGGAATTTTAATTTGGTAAGAGAACAATTTATGCAATCAGCATCGAGAGAAATTTTTAGAAATAATATTGTTAAATTGGAAAATGTGACATTTATTGAACGGTGAAAAATGTGAGAACAGAAGTAGAAAGTAAAACAATGAACACAATCGATGTCAGCCACTCCGAAGTCGATAAGGCTGGTGACTGGATGTTCGATCGGGTAGTGTGTCATTGTAAACGATATTGTACAAAAATGTGTTATAAATTCAGTCTGTGATCAGATGGTGAATAAATAAATAAATAAATAAATAATGTATTTATTCCTGAACGAGTATTATTTTCATTTTTTTTGAAAAATATTATTTAAATAAGATGGAACACCCGTGTTGTTAAAAAATTAAATATTGATGACGATTATAAAGATTTAAAGTGTCATGTTCATTGAGAACGGGTGTTATTCTGGGAAATCTATTTACGCCGTAAATGTAACGAATGCATACATTCTGAAGTATTTAAAGTCTTTTTTGTTCACCAATTGTTCCGGTGATTCCATATCCATGATAAATAATACTACCATAGTCAAAAAGAGGAAAAACAACGCTTGAAATAATAGTTTTTTTAACATTTTCTGGAATGCTTTTTTTGCAATGATTAATTTTACTTAACGTAAAATTAACATTTTTAATTATTTGATCAACCTGTGAATTACTGTTGAAAAGACTATTAAATTTGTATCCAAGGTATTTGACCTCCCTACTATAGGCAATTTCGGTGTTTTTAACTTTTATCATTGGGACCTGCATATTAGTTATTTTTTTCAAATTGCCAGACGAACCAATAATGATGCATTGAGTTTTATTTGGATTAAGATGAAGGCCTTGCGCCTCCATCCAATTGTTAATGTTATTAATGTCATTGTTAATAAGAGAAATCGCATTGTTTAAATTTGATACACTGGTGCTTATATAAATTGATTATTTTATTATTTATGAAATTTTGAATTTTTGATTTTATTGGTATCATTATTGATAACAAGTGAGAAAAAGGTTTGAGATAAATTGTCACCCTGTAATAAACCACAGTCAATATTTTGAAATTCAATTTTTTATTTTCAATTTTGACAAATTGCTTCTTTTGAGAAATGAAACATTTAATCCATTCCAAAGAGTCAGATTGCATTCCGATGTTATTTAAAACGATCAGCAACAATTGGTGTGAAACTGAAGGATAAGCGGCTTTAATATCAAGAAGTACAAGGATTACAATTTCATTATTTGCAATACTCATTTTAATAAATGTGGCTATTTGAATTGCATTTGTTGTAGAAGAGAAAATAAATATTTCAAACTTTCCTGCATATAAAGGTTAGGACTTATACTGATTTCCGTCAATTTATTGATTTTGGGTTGATCAATGAATTAATAATTTGTTTTGATCGAACCAGACGAAGAAAAGAAAACCACAGCAATGAAATCCCTACTACCGTGCTAGATGGTGTCGACACGAGTGGACGGATTTTTAAATTTATTTGAATGACGCCATGTTACTATACTTGTCTATTACAACGTACATGTAACAGAAGAAACACACAGTCCATGTCCACGCTAGTGGACATAAACGATTTGAACCGTCAATGTGAACTAGATCAAGTATAGAACTTTACATAGGATCATATACGATGAATATGGATTACACAGTCTGTTTCGAAATACCGTCGTCAATGTCGACACCATATGACATCAAAATTTTGACAGTAAAAATATGTGTTATTGTTGTTGTCGTTTCATTGCTGTGAAGAAAACAATTCAATGTACAATATTCTCATTAATTTGCAAAAATTGCACTCGTGACCGTCATATCTATATTCTGTTGCGTATTATGTAATATAAAAAGTAATTATGAAATTGATAATCATGATAACAGATTATGATTATGTTTAATTATTCAAGATGAATAAGTCATGGCTATTTTTTTCTAACCGAGTAATACGCTATATGTTTTATATGAAAACGTCACACGAATCTCCCCCAAAAACGACATCTTTGGTCTTGCAGCAGAAGCTGTTTCTATGCTGAAAATTTCATTTCAGTTTAAAAAAATTAAAATATTATTCATGTAGAATTGTACAAATATTTCAAAACGTTGAAATGAGATTTACAGAAATATGCATTTGAAAATTGTTTTGAAAAATAAACACGGCACAGTCAATTTCAAAAAGAATAACAGCTTTTATTGGGCTGAAGCTTTGAATGTTAATTAGATACGAGTGGAGAAATGGTATAAAGCGTTGAGTTATTCTTTCAATGAATAATATTGTTGACATATTTTCACGATGACAGCTATTTTTGCGGTACAAAATTGACCCGTTTTTTATTTTATTTTATTTATTTATTTATTCACCGTCTGATCACAGACTGATTTTATGACAATTATTTACAATATCATTTGCAATGAAACACTACCCGATCGAATACCAGCCGCCAGTCTTTTCGACTTCGGAGCAGCAGATATCGACTGTGTCCATTGTATATTATTGGGTGTATCGATTAATTTTAAAGGATTTTTGTGTGAAAAGATACATTTATTTAAAAACAACTGTACAATATTTTTTAACCAATGTATTGCCCATCGTTGGCTATGACTTCCGCCCATCTTCTTGGTAGCTTGTCGATTCCGCGTCGAAAGAATTCCTCATCTTTTGAAGCTATCCATTCATCGATCCAATTTCGCGCTTTTTCATAATTTTGAATGTGTTCATCGAACAGGCTGATTTTCATCGATCGGAACAAGTGGTTATCAGAAGGAGCCAGGTCTGGAGAGTACGCGGGTTGATCAAGCTCATCCCGACCAGAGTCCCCTATCTTTTTTTTGCGATGTTTGAAATATGTCAAATTTTGATAAATCCTTCGACTATTTCTTGTTGCAGTTTTTTTCAATTTTTCCTTCAGTACTCCGCTCAAACGTATTGGTTGTAATCGATGCCGATCCCCCGTGACTGTTTCACCCTGTTTCAGCAGCTCATTATACACCAAACCACCTTATCCCCACCAAATAATGAGTATTACCGAGAAATCATCAAAATCCTGCTATGCTGTAGATTTTGGTGATTGTGTGGGATTGAACCCTTATTTTTATGCCTGGGGTTATCGTAGCAGATGCCTTCTTCACTTCCAGTTACAATACGATACAAAAATTCCTTTCTTTCTTATTTTTGGAACATTGTGCCAAAATGTGAAAAAACATCTAACAACTAGTTTTAGATTCAGCTGGTGTGGCACACAATTTCTTTGGTCTTATCTCATTACAAATGTCTTAAAACGATTGATTTGCATATATTTAATGCTTCTGATGTTTTTCTGATGCATTTTCATGCATCTTTATCGAATAAAAAACGCCAATATCGAATAAAAAACGCCCAACATTCAATTTTTTTTGGTGATTTCACAGTTTTTCAACAAATTCACCACTTCTTTCTCACCAAATTCAACATTCTCTGTGGCGATTGAGAGTTCTCGTCTCCTGCAACATTTTATAACCTTTAGATGTATTTTCACTTTATTTAAAGTGAAAAAATTGAACCAAAGGAGGGCCAGACAGAAAAACACTTTTTCATCACTCATTTTGAATCGATCAGAAAATAATGACACTGTGCCAAAAATAAATCTTTCTGCTCTGAATTAGATTGGCAAATGTCACATGTACAAAATGCAATTGGATTCACCTGTCAAGCTACACACAATTTCAAGTTACGCCATCTCTTATCAATCCTTTAAAATTAATCGATACACCCAATACTATATTCATAATTTTTCTTAGTCTATTTTACCGAATATTAAATAACAAATTGTCCAATTTAACAATACTAGTTCTAAAAATGCTTCGCGATGCTGATTCCAAAAATGTTTCTCTTATTAAATTAAAATTCCTACACGCCACGTAAAATGGTTGACTATGTGCATATTCAGCTGTAAACGTTCGTACTCTAATAAGTTCTGTATTTCTCAAATTTCTTTGGTTTACGTTATATTGTTGTCTTGTGTATACAATCTTATCTCTAAGCGAACGCGACACTATTTTACCTAATAAGAGATCATAAATTAAAAATATAGAGGCATTTATACGCCGTCTCCAAAGCGGTTGAATACTTAAAACATCACATCTAAACTGATACGGTGGCAATACAAAATTCTCATCTCTTTGGTAAACAAATCTTAACGACCATATCACAAATTTTTTCTGAATTGACTCTATTCTATCGGAGTGTATACGGTGGTATGGTTGCCATACTATACTCGCGTACTCTAACTTTGATCTGACTAGCGCAAAATACAACATTTTAGCCGATTCAATCGTGAACTTATTCTTTAATGTGCGTTTTATGAATCCCATTGTCCCAAGTGCACTGGCTGTGATCGCATCGATGTGATTGACGAACGTTAGTCTTGTGTCGAAAATAACACCGAGATCCTTGTGTAAATTTATTCGTTCAAACGTGTGTTGGCCGTTATTGATCGTATAAACGTAGTCGATTGCGTTTCCACCTTTTGAATACGTCATTACGAAGCATTTCCTCAGATTCAGATATAGGCTGTTTTCAGTGCACCAGTTGCTCAGCTGATCAATGGCATTTTGGAAAGTAATGACATCAATAGGCGATTGGACCATTGTGATCAATTTAAGATCATCTGCGAAAAGTAAGACAAGTGCATTTGTTACGGTTTCGACAATGTCATTAATAAAAATAATAAAAAGACATGGCCCCAAGATACTTCCCGCAGGTACTCCTGATGACACAGTGAAAGTTCTTGACTTTCTTTCCCCGATTCCAACAAATTGTGTTCGTGCTGTCAAGTATCCATGGAACCATTTGACAAGTTGTCGGCCGAATCCAAAGTTCACCAACTTCTGCAACAATTTCTTGTGGTTCACACGATCGAAGGCCTTCTCAAAATCTGTGTACAGCACATCCGTTTGACATTTTTTGACCATTGAGTCCATCGTGAAATTTATCATTTGCAGTAAATTTGTTGAGGTTGATCCATTTTTCACGAATCCATGTTGATTGTGACTGATTTTCGCATTAACAAATGTTTCGATTTTGTTATATACAACAATTTCGAACAATTTGGCTATTGTTGGTATTATCACGATCGGCCGATAATTCGATGCACTGCTTTTCTTTCCAGACTTGAATATTGGAACAATTCTGGAATTTTTCAATGCTGCCGGAACACATCCTTGATGCAACGACTTACGAAATAGCATTGTTAACGGCTTTGACAAAGAATGCGCGCAATTTTTCAGTAGTTTTGGTGAAATACCATCTGG